AATTTTTTTTTTACGCGTCACATTCATATAGACAGTTTTCTTAATATTCAATTCCATCTGCCACTGAGTGCACCTATTTTGCTCAGATGCCTATCTAGGTTCTCTTGATCTTGAACGAAGGAAAAAGTACAATATACTATAGTGTCATCTGCAAAATGCTTTAAACATATCTCAGGATCGAATCCGTCACTCATGTCGCTGATATACAATATAAGAAGGAGCGGTCCAAGCACAGAACCCTGCGGAACACCAGATAACACTGGCAATGAGTTGGTCCTTTCGCCCTGAAGATAAACAAACTGTTCTCTGCCCGATAAGTATGCCTCCATCCAATCTACAATTTGACTGTTCTTTAGAATGAGACTAAGTTTATGTAATAGCTTCGGATGCGATACGCGATCGAAGGTTTTCGAGAAGTCTAAAAACATGACATCAGTTTGTACACCCTTATCTACATTTCTGCTAAGGTCATGAAAAACTTCAATCAGCTGCGTAGTTGTAGAACAACCCTGCCTAAAGCCGTACTGGTTAGTGCCCAGGATGTTGTTACTTTCTATAAAATCTATTAAATGTTTTGCTATTATATGTTCTAAAGTTTTGCAGCACGTACTAGTGAGTGATATTGGTCGATAGTTGCACAAGGTGGTTCTTGCGCCTTGTTTGGGAATAAGAATTACTTTCCCGCACTTCCAGTCTCGTGGAATCATTCCTCTGCTAAGTGTAAGTTTAAAAATTATCACTAAAAAATGGGAACACCATTCGGCATATCTTTGCAGAAACGAATTTGGAATCTTGTCGGGTCCCGGCGACTTTTTTGTATCAATTTTTAACAGCAAACTAAAAAGACCTTCTTGATTCACGTATATGTTTGGAATGGGAGGTATGCAGCCAGAAACGTGAAAAGCGGGAAGGGGACCATTGTCTCTCGTAAAAACTGACTGGAAGTATTCGTTGAATAATGAAGCCATCTGATCATTATCCGTTATAACAGAACCGTTTTCAACTATGCTGGTTATCGCATCTCTCGAAGGAGATAAATGCCTCCAAAATTTTTCAGGGGAAGTCTTCATAACGTTTAGAAGGGAATTATTCATATAAAAAGATCTAGCATTGCGAACTTCTCATTTAAAATGTCTGGAGAGGTTCCGCACCTTCTCTCGCCTTTCTGGAGTTTCATGTTTCTTAAGCTGCCGCCGTTCCCTCCTTAACCTATGCTTCAGGCAAGCAATATTTCTTGTTACCCAAGGATTGTTCTGTGAATGCCTTCTTACTCGAAGCGGAACAAACTTTTCTATATCATTGTGTACCAGGGTTTTAAATTTTTCCCAAACATTGTCTATCGATGACGTGCCTAACAAGGAAAACTTTCTAAAATTAGCAAAGTGGACATCTAAAAATCAAGTATACTTTCGTCATCTGCTTTCGAAAAATCCGGAAATGAGAGGTTCTGGCGCGTTGGAATATCTCGTCTCTCCAGAGGACATCTTATAAGAACCATATCATGATCAGAGATCCCGTCAATAATCTGGCATGAGTATTTTGTTTGCGCCATAGTAGGACTTAAAAATACCAGGTCGAGCATGGATTCAGTTTAGCCTTGCGTTCTTGTACTCCCTTGAACTATTTGTGTAAAATTTTGTGAATAAGCCAGATCTAATAGTGCTTGAGACATAGAGGCTTCGCCATTCCCCATGCACAAATTAGTCCAGTCGATGTTAGGCAGGTTGAAATCCCCGGCCAGGACAAGCCTAGAGTTTTCGCTATTAACATATTCGCATAAATAGTCATTTATACGCGTAAAATAATCATCATTTGACATGGGGGGACGATATACAGCTCCGACTATAATAGGAAGTTTATCAACCATGACCTTACAAAACAAAGATTCTATGTCCAGAGCAGGCATCTCAACACTCCCAAGTGCTTTTTTAATGACAATGGCAACCCCACCGCCACGAGTCACCCGGTCTTTACGGAAACACACATAATTGGGGGGTATAAAGTCAGAATTTTCAACAGAGGCACTTAACCAAGTTTCCGTTATTATAACAACATCAGGTTCATGCTCTAAAAATACAGCTTCAAGTTCAGCCCGTTTGTTCAACACACTCCTTGCATTTAAATTGATGACCGTGAGCGCATCAGGAAAAACCTTGGTTTTCAGGAGACGATGACTGCCTCAGTTCTTCTTCCAGTTCCCGCCTGTCCCGGCACGGCAGTCGAGAGTTGGATTCAGGATCCCAGTAGAACTTACGACCTTCAATAGCCACTTTGTCGTGAACCAACCAAACCTTTGAACCTCGATTCTTTTCCTCGCGTGAAGCTTCCCAGAGGTGTTTTCTAATATCTTGAACATGTTTAGAAAAGTCTTCACTAACGGAAATGTTCGTGCCTCTTAGCCTGCTACAGTTTCGCAAGACTTCCATTTTCTCTTTGTAGTTGTAGAAACGTACTATTATAGGCCGAGGTCTGCGACGTTTCTTGCCAAGACGGTGCATGCGTTCTATGGTTTTGGGATTCACGTTAACTTTGTTAAATACATTGGACTGAAGCGCCTCGGAGAGAACCGCTGGAGTTTCATTTCGTTCCTCATTTAATCCGAAGATCAAAATATTATTGCGCCTCGAGCGGTTTTCTAGGTCGTAGATTTTTTGCGTTAATTCATGAACAGTTCGCGAGAGTTCCCAGACCGAGGCCTGCAATTCTACAGCACTCTTAATCGACGATTCGAGATTCACTAACCGAGCATCCAGATTTTTAAAATGTTCTGTGTTTTCATTGACGGATTTTTGGATAGAGCGCTCATCTCGTTTAATATCGTTTAGCATCTTCATGTGTTCTTTTTGCCCATCAAGGATCATTGACACCTTTTCCTCGAGTGAGTGGTGTGGTCCAGGGTTCATCTCGACGTCACCGCTTAGAAAAAAAGTCAAGTTTGGGGGTTTTACGTACCAAACCAACGACGGGCATCTGGCACGCCCCAGCGGAGGACTGAGGATTAATTTGGACCACCTGGGGATCTTTTGACGTGCAGCCGAAAGCTCGGTTACACGGCGCCTTCTCCGCAATAAGCCTCCGTCAGATTGCGGGCACCTCGGCCGGGATTCAAACCCGCCGCATGGGGATCCGTAGGCCGACGCTCTCGCCTCGGACCCACCGAGGCTAATACGTCACCGTTTAGAAGCAGAAGCTGTTTTACAATATCTAAGAACTCTAACGTCATGGAAAGCAATTTGTGGGGGCACGGTACAACAAGGCACAGGCAACTACTGCGTACACCACAACTCTTGTAGCTTACCTGCAAGCAGGCGAAGACAAGTAGGTTAGGCATCTTGTCGCAAAGTGTACCGTGCCCACCACTGGTACCGTGCAGTCTGTTCCAATGTATTATAGCACCCAGAGGTGTAGTACTCGTTGACGTTGATTGGCTTGGAGTGACGTAGGTAAGGGCCGTGCGCACCGTGGCCGATGTCTCGCAGATACCGACGTCCCGTGTTGATGACAAGACATGTCCCACGCTGCTTGCGTCGGACGGTGGAAGCTTGAATGGCTCAAAGGCCACGTCATGCACGCAGTTTTCCATCGCTTGAAAATACAGTACCTGCAAGCAGGCGAAGACAAGTAGGTTAGGCATCTTGTCGCAAAGCGTACCGTGCCCACCACTGGCACCGTGCGGTCCGTTCCAGTGTTTTATAGCACCCAGAGGAGTAGCACTCGTTGACGTTGATTGGCTTGGAGTGACGTAGGTAAGGGCCGTGCGCACCGTGGCCGATGTCTCGCAGATACCGACGTCCCATGTTGGTGACAAGACATGTCCCACGCTGCTTGCGTCGGACGGTGGAAGCTTGAATGGCTCAAAGGCCACGTCATGCACGCAGTTTTCCATCGCTTGAAAATACAGTACCTGCAAGCAGGCGAAGACAAGTAGGTTAGGCATCTTGTCGCAAAGCGTACCGTGCCCACCACTGGCACCGTGCAGTCCGTTCCAGTGTTTTATAGCACCCAGAGGCGTAGTACTCGTTGACGTTGATTGGCTTGGAGTGACGTAGATTAGGGCCGTGCGCACCGTGGCCGATGTCTCGCAGATACCGACGTCCCGTGTTGATGACAAGACATGTCCCACGCTGCTTGCGTCGGACGGTGGAAGCTTGAATGGCTCAAAGGCCACGTCATGCACGCAGTTTTCCATCGCTTGAAAATACAGTACCTGCAAGCAGGCGAAGACAAGTAGGTTAGGCATCTTGTCGCAAAGCGTACCGTGCCCACCACTGGCACCGTGCAGTCCGTTCCAGTGTTTTATAGCACCCAGAGGCGTAGTACTCGCTGACGTTGATTGGCTTGGAGTGACGTAGGTAAGGGCCGTGCGCACCGTGGCCGATGTCTCGCAGATACCGACGTCCCATGTTGGTGACAAGACATGTCCCACGCTGCTTGCGTCGGACGGTGGAAGCTTGAATGGCTCAAAGGCCACGTCATGCACGCAGTTTCCCATCGCTTGAAAATACAGTACCTGCAAGCAGGCGAAGACAAGTAGGTTAGGCATCTTGTCGCAGAGCGTACCGTGCCCACCACTGGCACCGTGCAGTCCGTTCCAGTGTTTTATAGCACCCAGAGGCGTAGTACTCGCTGACGTTGATTGGCTTGGAGTGACGTAGGTAAGGGCCGTGCGCACCGTGGCCGATGTCTCGCAGATACCGACGTCCCGTGTTGATGAGAAGACATGTCCCATGCTGCTTGCGTCGGACGGTGGAAGCTTGAATGGCTCAAAGGCCACGTCATGCACGCAGTTTCCCATCGCTTGAAAATACAGTACCTGCAAGCAGGCGAAGACAAGTAGGTTAGGCATCTTGTCGCAAAGCGTACCGTACCCACCACCGTGCTGTGTTCGTGGCATTGCGCGAAGATCGCGTGTACTGCCCGTTCGTCAATCAGAAATAGACATTTTCATTTACCTTCGAGTGCCACATGGCCTTCATTTTTGCGTGTATTCTCTTGTCCAGCCCATGGCCACCGTCAACGGCGACGCACAGCTCCCGGCGAAGAAGTCCACAGGCCACCGCCTGCCCGTAGGGGGCGCGTTCAAGTTCAAGCCTAGCGCCAGGCCGCACTCGCAAGGCGCACCACCAAAGAATGCTGACGACGCAGCGCGCGACAAACGCAGGTGAGCCGCCCTTCGTTTCGTTCTGACTGTTGTTGCTACAAATCTGTTAACGGATCTTGCTCAATCAGCTCAAGTATGTCTCAGATGACGCTGCGATCCGATGCAGCGAATCAAGCAGCGACAAAAGTGCATGACACGGCGCTCCTTCTCCCTGTGGGAAATTTACTGTCGATGGCTAAAACGATGTGCGTCGTCTGATCGCTGCCCCTGTCGGAAGGTGGCGCCACAAGTTAATGGCGTCGCTAACTCTTTCGTCTGCAAATGCGCCCAAAGTTGACTTGCCAAGATTGTTGCTCTTATATTTTGTTACAGAGGAATTATACACCTTGAAGTTTTACGAGTGCACTTTTAGTGTAAGTTTGGGGTTTTATGTGCATTTAATAAATTTTCCGCTTTCAACGTCGGCTCCGTTGAGCCATCCTGTAGTAGCAGAGAGCTTCAGTAGATCGTTTTGCCATTTACGCTATGCTATCAGCAATCCGCTAGGACGTCCACTAAATCTTCCTTAGCGGAGCAACATGTTCATGTTTTAGTAGCGCGTGTGCAATCTTCGCAAACCGGTACCGGAATATAACGTTACGAGGGCTGACGCAACGCCACAAGCGACTTTGTGAGATACTAAAGCTTCCGTAAAATAATATTTTGTAGATACATTGGTAGTAGTCGCCTACTTATGTCGTTATGTCTCAATAATATCTATCCTTTTGTTAATTAAAGGGCTCATCTTTGCTTCTTTTATAATTAAGCGTAACTGATACTCAAGCTCACCAAGGCGATCCAATTCAAGTCAAGATAGTTAAGCGTGAAGTAGCAATCTCTCAGACGCCGCCGGTCTGTTCTGATCGTGCTTCTCGCTTCATCACTTAATCACGACGTGCCCACTGTCGGAAAAAGATGGCTGCACCGACTCGCCGCACTCGACAGTTGGAGACACGTGCTTTAGAGGCGTCGTTAAGCTCAGGTACGCCCAGTTCTGGGTATCTTTTTACTGCATGGATGCGTAAATTATAATAACGGTATTTAAAACGGGAGGTAGCTTGCTCCACCTAGACAAGAAACCAAAAATATAATTCCTTTGCTCGTCTTTTGTGGTTTTTCTGACTTAAAAAGATAATTTTACTCTATTGCACTAAAACATGCATGTCTGAAGATTTTAGGTGACGTTACTTATTTGCTCGACATGAGTTAATCACGATCTACTGCAGCGGACCTTAGGAGCCATCCCAGCGAATCGAGCACTGCGTACAAATCACGTGACTACGCACCCTGCGCAATGCTGCGTTTGCTCTGAATTTCACGTGACATTCGCAAGACATTGGAATAGCTCCTAGCGTCCGCTGCTGTCCATCGCAAGGTGAAACGTAGTATAGTCGTGTCTCGATGGTCTCGATATGTCCCAGAAGGCGTAGTTGCTATGGACGCGTGAAATCAGCATCTCGTTTTGTGCGCCCGGGGAAACGCGATGGTGTCCGTTTTCTTCACAACGACGACTCGCGTGCGGCATGACGCACCGCGCACCGCCACATCCGCTTCCCCAGGCCACGTAGCACCTCCTCTCCCGATCGGTCCGAAAGGCACCTGACAACGGGACGTTCGGACCATCCGTGCTGCCACTGGCTACGGCCCTCCGAAAATCGTACAGCCGTGTGGCGAATATATAGCAAGTTCGTAGCATGCCGTTACCGGACAGAACCAACACCACCTAGACAGAAGGCCTCCGCACCGTCTTCACAGTCAGACCGATAGACGCCTTAGATTGAGGACGAGTGCTGTGTCAGTGTTTTTCTGGGGCTTGTGTCCAATCAGCGCGTCGAAGGTCGGGCTGGGGCTCAATGGCCGACTTAGCGCGATCCGACTATGATGACGTACCATGAAGGGACAGGAGGAAACGTGGAGGCTTTCATTATTTTTGGTGGTGTTAACAGAGCTGAGTTGTTGACAGAGCCGACGCTCCGATGCGACCAAAAACACTCGCCTCCGGAAGTCGTTCCTACCTTTCGCACATAGGATCGGGTAGTTCTGACGCGCGACTGCCCGACATCGTGTCCTACTTCGGAGTCTCCAGATGGCGCTTCAAACGACTGGTGTAAGGCTTAAACAGGGTATTTATGCTCGTCGAAGTTTTAATGCGAAAGCATTATCTGTCCCAAAGAGCGAAACCGGGGTTGTCTATAACCGCTGTCTGTAACCGTTTGTAGCAGAAACGACACTTAAACTTGAATTTTCAATAATACAGAAGGAAAACTTCAGCAACGCAGATGCCTCGTCACGGAAACCGGCGGGTGCGCTCAAGGTCAAAGCGGACGAGCTTGAGAAATAAAACACGAAGAAAAGCACACCAATGCAATGCTTCGTCTCAGATGCCGTCGTGAAGCCGGAAGGTTTCAAAGCGCCGGGGCACCGCGCTTTGAAACCTTCCGGCTCTCTTTGAAACCTGCGCTCCGTGCGCGAAACGAAGACGTGGCGCGTTTCTTGTAGGAATGCGTTGCGTGTAGAAATGTCTTTAAATTCCCACACGTAAGCAACCTTCAAATTCTCTGCAGAAGTCTTTTTTTTTTTCAAATTTTAACATGACCTAAAAGAGTCCAACTACTAAGAACAGAATTTGCCGCTCAAAATTCGTTGTCTTTACGCCCGAAAACAGCCGGTCGAGAATTGGCCGCGTCCAATCGCGCTTTCTCTCTCTTCCATGGTCATGTGGCACTCAAACTATGCGTACAAAATATATTTAAAGTTGCGGGTCATCTGTGAACATTAGATGACCCACGACATTCATTATTATAAATAGAAACGAATTAGAACCCTGTTGTGTGGCCTCCAAGAAAGTGCAAATACGGTGATCGAAATAAAAATAAAAAGTTACAAAGATCACCGCAAGTACATGTACTACGTCATTCTCAATATGGCGAAATACCGCGGGTTGGACGACGTGAAGGCGGCTCACCACTACGGAACTGTCCTTCGTGGTACCGGCCAATTGATCTTCAAGCGTAGAACATTGAACGGAAGGGATAGAAGTGCGAAACTATCTTGAAATAAGCGGTGCACCCAACTTCGTCGTCGTCGTTGTCTGCGTCACACGCCCGACAAGTGGAGAAGAAAAAAAACGCGCTCGGCTCTAACCACGTGACTTCCGGCATCTAACTCTGTCCTCTGCAGCTCTCCCTCCTCGGTAAACATCGTCCACGAGTCGCGGCCATGAGCTTCCGTGCTCAGGATTCAGTCTTGGTTTCGAGCAGTTGAATTCATCGCCTTTAGTAAAAATATATGTGACTTTGTAGCAAAATATTCATTGGATAGACTCCTCGCATCATATTAAATCACCTGACACAAATTTTTAAAAAAAAGTTGGGGGCGTGTTAGTCCCTCGCTAAAGGAAAAAATGAAAAAATGGAACTCCCCTAAGGGAGTTCCACTGCTGAGTTTATCCTATAACGTTTTCTGCGGCATAGCTCTCACACCATATAATTTGTTCTGCCGCTGCAGGATGCAAACGTTTTCTTCGTTGTTTTGCGATGGGCGCAAGCAGGAGGCGATGAAGTCATCTCATGCAACCTGTCTGCTCGCAACTCCGATTCACTATAGGTGGCGTCACTCGTTTTCCAAAATGGCGATTATAGTGAGGGTCGAAGGTGCGTGCCATTATACCAGTTGCTGAGCCTGCATTGTGTGCTAGCTCGACTGAGCAACACAAATTATTCCTGCGTCTACGAGGAAGCTGGGTTGTTTTGTGCGAAGGTCACCATTTTATCCTGGAAACAAAAACGGTGTTCAGTGTATTATTTACGCAAGGAGGCACGCTTTAATTCTGGAGCGAAGCCGAACCAAACCTTTTTTTTATATTTAATTTCTCCGAATAGGCGTTAATTTCGGATTCTTTCATAACTCAAGATCTGTCTCACAGCGTAACTATTGAGCTAAAGCAGTTGCTCGTGGAAATTATATTCTGTGGCATACGCGTGCGATCCAGGTGCTTAAAATATTTTGCAGTTCAGTGTCCTTTTAAAGACAGGGTCTTTCATACACCTTAGAGCAAACATGGAATATTGTATATGTTGAAAAAATATCTGCTGATATTTGTGTGTTTTTGCTGCCTTTTGTCGCTCAGATAATTGTCATGTGAAATAATGTACTGGGGGCCTTTTAATTGGTTTTGGGGTATTTAGATGATTGATTGCTTTTGCACTATTCCCGGTACAAAAGAGAACAATATCAATCCAAATTTTACAAAATATCGCCACCGGTGATAAGTTCGGAATATGTTTACAAAACGATTAAATTAAGATAACTGTTTTCTGTACAACAACCCAAAGACAGAATCCGAGTCAGACAGCAGAAGTGTGTCTGTGTGTGTCTGTTTTTAAAGCAACGCGTGACTCACAGGACCTTATATTACATCTAGTGTTTTTTGTTCTATCTTGACAACGATGTCAGAGTTCTCCATATGCTAAAAAGAACACAAAATGTGACCTTTCTGTAAGGAATATTAAGGTTAAATGGCATATGTTTGTTATCGTGTCACTTATTGGGGGTCTACATTTCCGTAGGTTTTGTGAATAATAATGTAATAATTTATTAGAGTTTGAAAAGTGTAGTTTCTCACACTCTAATATAATTTGTTGCCGAGTACCAAACTGCAAACGCGCGAACAAGTATGACAATCAAAAATTTCTACAAATTAACAACAATATTGCGAATTGCAGAATTTTTTAATTCTCAGGTTACAAAAAACTGTCTAAAATCAATAAAACATTTTAGCTGATTGAGAAATTAATGTAAAATTACATTAATGTGGGTAAAGCATATGTTCCTATCAACGTCACGACTTAGTCGGAAAAACTTCCAAAATCACCTTCGATCCTTCTAGACCAACCCTGGAAGGGTTTGTAGTGCAAAACTTTCCGGAACATTTGGATTCTTTTATTTTTACGCACTGTCGTTTGGCCAAGCTGAGCCTTTCCAGTTCTAAGGAACCCCATCCTGCTTGCACGTCTCCTCTCTGCAGCACGTTTCGTTGGCGTTGGAAACTGGTGAAACAAAAGTGAGTTTCAGTATTGCGTATAGGAGCGAACGCAAGGACTTTGTTTTTGCGTTAGCGTTGCGTGTTTCACACTACGTGTGCGCGGAACTCAAATTTGCAGTCCTAGATTGACGCATGGCGACGACGCGCATGTGGAGCCCTCAGGTCTAATGCCAATGCATAGCACTTGCGTTTGCAGAATATTAAAACTCTCTAGTAAAGTACAATTTCCTACCGGCTGCAGCACTACATTGGGACAATAAGAACTACCGCTTGCGTTTGGAAATGTCATTTCGCGAGCCATAATCGCGAGCAGTTCCGCCGTGCCCGCTGAGCAGAAGAACCGGGGAACCCTTACTAGAGCGCTTACCATTTCCGCCGCGGGTGGGCGAGCAACGAGCTGGAGACGCGAATACGGAAATAACCTAACGGAGAGGAGGATTGGGCGTGCAGTGGAGTCAGAGGGCCGATCCCTGATTGGAAGGATAATAGATGCACGCAAAGGCCACCTTTCTCTCCACCCACTGTCTCCTTCCAATCAGAGCGTGGTCTGCTCGTCGCTCAGGGTTGGGTGTTGGAGCGCAGGTCATCGGCGTGCGGCGTTCGAAAGCCAGACCTTGCGCGAGGAGCGGACGACGCCCTTGCTCCTTCTGATTGGAGGGCAGTCGGGGGTTGAGACAAAGGCAGTTAGCCTTTTGCGTCTACCCACTATCCTTCCAATCAAAGCGCGGCTCTCTGACGTCTTCACACGCTCTGATCTCCTCTTCTCCTATACTGTTCCTCTCCGTGAAGACGACGTTATGAGATCACCTGAGTTGTGAAACTCTAGCGGAAAGGAGTACCAACTCCTCCTTCTCCTGAAGCCCGACACCCGTCGCTTGAAACACTATCTAGAGCAGGGCCGTCTCAAACACGCGACCCGCACCGTCCTCGGCTACGAGCCCCGTTCACAAATCCGCGTACTGCACCACAAGAGCCTCATGTAGTCGATACCTTCATTTCCTCTAAGTGTAGTTTCGTTTTCAGTTTTGTTTCCATCTGTTTCTTATGTTAATCTCCGGTACGACGATCTCACTACTAGGCTAAAAACACGTGTCTCTTGCGCAAGGACACACCTCGGATACATAAAATTTACGTAGCAGGAGTAACTGTCAACTCTTATGAGCTTGAGCCTCTAACTTTCGCTGATGCATGCAATAAGTTAAAATGACGGTTATAGAATAAATATAATTTAAATTCAATGAAAACATTTTAGCTAATCCGGAAAATTCATGTAGAATTACAGTATTTATGAATAAATCATGTGATACCATCAAACTCGCGACTTTGGGCAATTGGCAAAAGTTCCAAAGTCGCCGCCAGTCCTTCCGTGCTAAAAGACCCCCCCCCCCCCCCCCCACCCGCCCAAACCACCCCCTCCCCAATAAAAAGCACAAAAAAACGATTTTCGTTTGTTTTTATTTGGGAAACTTCCCAAAATATTTATTTTCTTTCATGTCTGCACGCCGTCGTTTTGTCAAGTTCAGCGTTTCCAGTTCGAAAAAACGCCTGTCCGCTTGCACGTCTCCTCACTGCAGCACGTTTCGCTTGTTCCGTCTATCTACGGATGATTTTCGTCATGAATAAGAGGCCAGAAAATAATGCTCAAGCGCGAGCTTTAATTTTTATAGTTTTCTTTATTCTTTATTCAAAAATTACCCCGCATTGCCCGGAGGCGTTATTGCAGGGGAGTTACAGTTTTGAAAAAAGCACATCTTCATTTGTAGAGCACACTTGGTCTTCAGTCAACATAAACCACTCTGCAATTGTTTTAACAAAAAAAAAAAAGATTTCACATACGTGTTTGTCCTGGCGTGGTACTCTCGGATTTTTAAAACGTCATAAGTCTGCCTAGAAACATGATGTGGGGGTTTTAAATATATTTCTCTATTAATACCGGTTTTATTATTCTATATAAGAAATAAAAGCTTTAATTTCAACTTCTTTTGTCGGGAGAAAAGTAGTTCCCAATTCAATTCACTTTTCATTTTAGTGCAGCTCTCCTCCGGCCATACCGATCCAGTACAAACCTAGCAGCTCTGTTTTGGATTCTTCCAATTTATGAATCAAGGAAATTTGTGAAGGGTTCCAGACGCCACGGGCATATTCTAGAATTGCTCTTACACATGATAAGTACGCGTTTTTTTTGTTTTTTTTTTCAAATCAGGTTGTGAGCAATTCAAATTTCTTTGAATAAAATTGAGCGCCCTGCCAGCTTTCACGATCACGTCATCAACAAGAGCGTTCATGAACAGTCGGATGATCGAGTGACACCAAGGTACTTGTACGTAGATTCGTTACTTATTGAGTTGTTTTCTATCCGGTAGTGACTTTCAATTTTTTTCTGTTTTCTTTGTAAAACACAGGTGTCACACTTTTTTTAATTTAAATTCATCTGCCACGTGGAGCACCAAGTATTAATACACTTCAGATCTCGTTACAACAGAGCAGCCTCTTGTTCATCCTCGATTTGTGTTATAAACAACGCAGTCGTCGGCAAACAACCATATACACGTTGAAATTCGCACGGACATATCGTTTACATAAATTAAGAACAAAAGTGGACCTAGAACAGAGCCATGTGGGACTCCTGACGTGACGTCAACGTACCCAGAATTTTTTGCGTTAAGGACAAGAGGTTGGCGACGCTAATATAAGTAATTTTCAATCCATCTGAACTCGCTAAAATACAAGTTTAACAGCTGAAGTTTACAAAGAAGGAGCGGGTGCGACACAGTCCTGAATGCCTTACGAAAATCGAGAAAAACCACAATCAGTTTGCCCTCCATTTTCAACATTAGAAGCCAGTTCGTGATAAAACTTCTACAAGCTGTGTCGTGCAAGATAGTCCTTTACAAAACCCATGTTGTTCACTAATTGAAATGCTGTTGTTTATTAAATGCCCCATTATTTCTGTATTTAAAATGTGTTGGATGATTTTAGACGAGATAGCAGTTAGTGATATTGGCCTGTAGTTAGAAACTTCTTTTTTTGAACCGCCTTTGTGAATAGGGACAACATGGGCAATTTTTTTAGTGGCCGGTAGGGTACCGGCGTACAGTGATTTATCGTAGATTAAATAAAGGTACAGCGATATAGGTCCGGCACAATGCTTTAGTATTTGTGGAGGTATACCATCGGAACCATTTGCCTTGGTTTCGTTGATGTTTTTCAAGAGCGCCTCCAAACCTCTCAGGCTTAGTTCGACCGGTTTCATTAACAGGATGGTGTTTCCATGTGGTGGAGGACAGTTGCTACCTTTAGGTAGGAAGATAGATCGAAAGTAATCATTCAGGCACGTTGCCTTCTTAGTGTCGTTTTGGTTGTACACAATTTCGTAAATTCCGAGGCAATCTGGTCTTAGAAATGGTCGTAAAAATCAACAAGTTAACAGATCTCTGCCGCGCAAGGACTTTTTTTTATGATGCTGAATTCGATTCATTTTCGGGTGAGGAGAACGACAGGACAACGACGGTATATCCTATTGTTCCATAAAAAAATACCAGCACGTTCCCTGAGTGGCGCCATTTTACTTTTTCTTGCCCCATCACGTTTTATCTAAAAGAGTAACATAAACTATTCAAAGATAAATATGTAACTTGCAAAATGGCGAGTTCACAAGCAGCACAGAATACGAAGTCAATATTCCCAACGATCTCTGGCGGACAAAGATGCTCCGCATTCTGGACCTTCAGGGCTATTTTTCTTTCCTCAAGAATCTCTCCCCCCCCTCCCCCCCCCTCCCCCCCCCCCCTGCCTTGAGTTTGAGACCTCTGATCTAGAGGCTGCGTTTCAAAACACAATTCTTCGGAGACGCTGCGGCGAAGCGCCATCTGAAAGCTGTTCTTCAAACACTGTGTAACATGCAGTTCCATAGCAGCCATCCCCCAAGAAACGGTGGCGCGTCAAATGATGGGAGGCGGACCGTTGTGGAAGGGGGGGGCGGGGGGGTGCTGCTCGCGTAAACAGCGTGTTTCGGCAGTTTCGTAACTATGTTGATCTAATAACGTTTGTGTAACACTGATGTTACCTCTTATATTGTCTTCATGATTTTCTTTGTTCCAGTATAAAAAGTGCCAAAGGGAGCGGCGCTGGCAACCTCGTCGGTGCTGCGGCAGATCGGCCAAGTCCCGTCCACGTCCAGCATCCCGGGAGCTCAAACGAACCAGGGACTTCTGCTTGGCCGTCCGGTGAACAAGGGGTTCAAGATAGCGAGAGTCTCCTGCCACCTACTCCACCTCTGAGGGCTGACCACGCCAACCAACTCCAATATGACGCCGATGACGGAAACCACAGTGTCCTCATTTTGATCGACGACTCCAGTGACGGGGACATCGAAGAGAATCCTGGTGCCGCCAAGCGCGAAGCAGGCGACGTGAATTCTTGGGACGCTAAGGAAGGCGGTAAGGGATCACTCGATTTTCCATTCCGAAAACCTCCGCACGAGAGCATAAGTAACGTTTGCAACGTCGTCGACGATTGAGCCGGAATACTGTTAAGTATGTACGGTTTGGGCCGCTCGCAAACCGCCTTTATTATGAATCCGTTGCTCTGTTCGAGGCTAAGCTGAAAAGATGAGGTAGATAGCCTTTATTCTTTTTGCAAACGTGGGTTCCGTCAGCCATTGTATAAAGCGGCTTCTCTCTGCGCTAGAGACTCAACAAGCTACGCTTGATGGACAATTTGGTCATTGCAGGAAAACTGGAAATCTGCAAAAGTAAACGGCCAGCTAGAACGATAGGGACAAAACACAGACAGGAAGAAACCGAAGCATACACAGAACTGACTATCAACTGAGATTTTATACTTCTTCATCACTTCGACACAAAAATTCACACCTAAAGTAATGCCAATAAATTACCCTAAATCCTTAAATTACACTACTAAATTAAAATAAATTAAATTAAATTATTAAATTTGGGCAACCCACAAACCCAACCCACAAATCACCGCCGACATATCCCTATTATTCCCTTTCACATGGCCGTGTCACATTGCGAAATCTGCCTTTATTTCTTGCTGTCCGTGATGGAGGGCATGCTGACGCAGTCATCAGTGCTTTCCTCAGTGGCCAGGTGATGGTGATGAAGAAGAAGTATAAAGTCTCAGTTGATAGTCAGCGGTGTGTATGTCTTTCTTTCTCTCTCTCTGTGTTTTGTCCCTATTGGTCTAGCTGACTGTTTACTTTTGTATTATGTACCAACTAGCTCAACTTCAGCCTCGAAATCTGATAATAGTCACCCGGACTCAAGCTAGTACGACGTTGATTCATATGAAACAAGATATGACATCAATAATTGATATGTTGAACACGTGTTTGCCGCCAATAGGAAGAACTACCATGTTTGAAAGGGTGCTTCACAATGAGCTATAATTTGAGAAAATAACTTTGACCCCTCACAGCGCAGGCGTAATCATCTTCCTTTTTTAATTACAGATTTAGAATGATGAAAACAGCCGGCTCCGATTCTGGTATGCCAGAAAACGTGGGAAGCGGGACGAAGGAGTAGAAAAATGTTGCCCAGCTCAAGCCATGTACTGTATGTAAATATGACAGGAAAAAGCCCCTAAAATGTTGGTTAATCGCACATATGTTAGACGTAAGCTCAAAAATCATGTTCAGTGTCTTACATTTGGTTTCTATTTGACTTGTGACGTTCACTTCAATTTGCATAATGCTTTTTATAATCAACCATGTGGCTGAAGAAAAGTTTCGATCATAAAGCATATTTGATACGCTAAGAATATCGAATTGGAACAAATATTTTGGCAGATTGACTATTTGTTGATTGGGGAAAAAAACGTGATGTATATTGGAAACTGCGTTGCATATCCAGCTAAGGTTTACATTCATAACGTACAAAACCAACGTACGTACTTGTTCTACCAATGCACCTTAAAGTTTGCTTCTCGAGGCTCCAATTTTCGTCCTAGATAAAAATCCCACAATTAATTTACCTAAAACAGCATAATCAACCACCATGGTACGATGTACTGGAGTCATTGTTTATCAGGTCGTTTTGACCTTATATTGTTTAAAAGGTGCTTGTTCCCACATCTACCAAGTGCTATATTACAAAACCGCCTATTCATCTCAGGGCAGTAGAAAAACATGTGGACTCTTTTTTCTCGCGGACTACATTGTGTGGACCAACGAGAGCCTTGCAACAAGCGCAGATTCCAAATGATTTTATATTAACTTGTTTTGAAGAGGGTTTAATGGGTACACATTTGGATAAGACGGCACTTTTTCACCGCGGGCGAAGCCATTGATTGCAACTCGCCGACAAGCGCCCTTCGTCGACCACTTCACTCGGAAGAAAATTCTTCCCAAAAAAGGCGTGTTGCGATCTTTGCACATGCTTTTAACAAAGAAATATGCTGCGCACTATTGTATTTTTTTTCTTCTTTTGGGATGCTTAGAGCGTCCAGATCGAGTTGTGACCACAAAAGGATGACCTCAGAATCGACTTCAGTGCCTGTTTAAACATTTTCCCATATTCTGAATGCTTGGCTTCCTGCGGCTATAATATGTTTGAAATATAGTGAACTTCCTACATATTTAAAAAAACAAAAACAAAACAAAAATAAAAAATAAAAAAAGCAACAGCTAGAACAGACACAAAGAGGACAAAAACACAGACGGGTATGTATCTTTCAACTCAACACAAACATTTATTCAGGGGCGTACGTTACGCCCCTGATCAGCCCTCAAGTAACGTGCAACAAACGTAAGCGAAGGTGTCTAGCCCATTATTAGTCCCTTAGGCTCTACAATTGAGAATTTAGCTAAATCTAATTGTCCTGAAGCTAAAATATCAGAAACTTTTTTCACGCAAACTATTACCCTTCGCAGGTTCCAGATTTTCTCTTACTAGTGCAGCATCTACCATCGGACAGCCGTTCGAATGCTCGCTGTTCCTCCTGTTTTCCTCGGTTGTCAGAGAGTCCAGCTCTAGAACGTTTGGAGGCTCAGGAAGCTTTTGGGGACCTGCAGCAGTGTCTCTTTTAATTGCAAACGACACTTCAAACTACACGGCGTATTTTCTGAATATACATATACTGAATATAAAAGGTACGGAAGCACTGAGCACGTCGGTATCGGCCTAACCCAGCGTCTTGTACACCGCGTAAACGAGGTCCCGCTCCCCGCAATGCTTGCGGCAAACAATGGCCAAGCCAGGAAACCGGGGCAGGGAAGCTAGCCGGATCATGCGAGATCGCGAGAGGAGTCCTTCCCCTGACGTCACGGCACATCTCACCCAATCAGGGCGCGGCGACTGCAGCGACCGCAGCGACGCTTCTGTTCGCTCTCGGGGCTAATAAGGAATGACGGCCAACCTCTTCTTCCGTTGTCTAAGTGCCTGTGTCGGAGTAGCAGAGGGGGAAATGAGCAGTCGGATTCGCTTTTCGGCCGGCCAAATGATAAATGGACAATGAAACTTGCTACATTTGGTGCATATTTACGAAGTGCAGCGATAAAAAAAAAATATGTGCCAGCTCCACGTGCGATTGGGCCGGCAGTATCAATGCGTCGGCTCGGGAGCACGGGACGATATCTACGTGATGCAGTCGACGCACCACCGATTATCAGTGTTGCCAAGCTGCTTCAGCCTGTAGTTTCGGTTTTGCCGTGCCAGTGGAACGAAACTTGGATACGCGATATCTGCAAAACTATACACACTACCGAAAAACAAATTATATCTCGTGATTCAGGATCGCCGACTTTGAGTAAACAGTATATAGCACCAAAATCGTAAAACTGGAGTGCAGTTGCCCTTTAATATTGAACTTTTGAAGTTTTGGCAATGACTCAATTTTATCAACTACAACACTTAGCCGAAAGCTCATTTTTGCCGCCGCTTGTGGCTGGAAATGGTCGAAAAGTTAGTTCTATATGCTTCCCTGAATCACGATCTCCTGCGTGGTTTCGGAGAGCCGTGAAGCTATGTTGACCCTCATAACGCGACTAGAGTCTTATTCAATTTTTTGTTCAAAATTAGTACATAATGTAGCCGGAAAGAAGCCTTCAATTTCTGTTGCTGAAAGTTATAACGTTCTCATGCATCGATTTCGAATCGTTGAATCACTGTTCGAGTCACTCCGGCAGTAAGCCAATCTCGACTTCGCTGCTTTCAGTTCTCGAGAAAAGACGCATTCGTCAGCACGGGATGCTCAAATAAAACGTTCATAAACACCGATACCTGACCAAGTTTCAACGTTTATAAACATTGATGCATGAGCACGTTTCAACTTTCAGCAACAGAAATTGAAGATGTCTTTCCAGTACATTATATACTAATTTTGAAAATAAGAAGAATCCTATTTTTAGATTACCCGGCGGCGCGGAAAGTGGCCTTCCAATAAGTGTTGCAGATAATAAAATCGAATCAGTGTCACCACCTTAAATTTTCAATATTAAAATGAACTTAGTTGCAAAATGTTACAAGCTGAAACAGATTATCAGGAGAAAACTTGCACGCACCTTGCGAGCGTACCCCATGTTTATCGACGGTACAGCGTCAAGTCCAGTGCGCGCTCCATTCACAAAATGTTCCGAGCGCATTCAAAATCATGGCGTTGGGGAAAGGTTTTTTTCGGTTTAGGGACGCAAGCCACTGCCGCCGGAAATCGGGGTCATGTAGAAAGCGATGGAGCTTAAAGACATTGCAGCCGCACTCGCCTTGCCGGATTCCGTGCAAGCTACACAGGCCGTCGGACAGTATTTGACGCGTTCTGTCGTTATTTGTGCATCCAATGACCGAGCAATGGTGTCACGATGATCAGGGGAATGTTGTCATCCAAGCCCGTGGCTCTAAATAAGTATGGGAGTTTAAAACAGAGAAGAAAGCGCGAACGGCGTTCGGGCAATGCCTCCACCCAACACAGGCGAAGCATCTCGCCGGCGACTTTCACTCTTTCTAGCACTCCAGCAAGAGGGAAACCTCCAGTACCTCTTTCTTCTTTCTTCTCTTGCCCTCTTTTAGTAAAACGGTCAACAGAACACCTCCTCAGTGTCCAGAGAGAACAACCCGAGGGTCGCGGAGGAGACGTGGAGGGGCTCAAGATGGGAGATCAGCTCTGAGGTGTTAGTCACACGGAAGGGTTGAGGGTGTGTCAGTGAAGACAGTTTCCTGATTAAAAAGGATGCCGAATTCTTCTACCAGGACCCGCTCTCCAAAACAATGCTACGGAGTGGGACCTCTGCTTTATGGGTTTTTGCAGTCAGTGGTTTCCTGGAGCTCTGCTTTCTGGGTTTTGCTGTCAGCGGCTTCCTGGAGCTCTTGGATGTTTACCTCCGCTCAACCTTAGTGGTGCATGAGGGTAAGGTGTACGTATATTCCGAGAGTGAGGGTGTGCATCGGGTCGTTCCTTGCACCGCTTCTGAGTGAGGTATTTCTCATGTATGTAGATCTGGCCATCAGGGAGCGACTGGAGGGTTCCGCGCCTTGCCGCCGGGTGTACCGTTGTGTAGATGGCGACCTAATCATACATGGAGAGCAGACATACCCTGAAACTACCCTGGAGGCGTTCTCGTCGGGACCGGTGGATCTTTCATTAAAGGGGAGGACCCCTCCGACGCAACTTTCCAATTCTTGGACCTTCGTTTGGCGATCCGTCCCGGGGGAATCTGCTGGGAGTTTAGGCAAAAGACGGAAAAGCCACTTCCGCCTTTCGCTAGCTCTCACTCCAAGACCGCTAAATAAACTAGGACTCCTCAAGTTCTTTATGACGTCAGCGCGTTCTAGATCCTGCCCCCTTTACGCGGAGCATAGTGTCTGGCTACAGACGCAGAGGTTGAAGAAGGCCGGCTTTGCCGAGGACCTGCTGGAAATCTCGCTTAAGAGGCTACTTTCCGGCCCTGCTACTCCGACACTGGCACCCAGACAACGGAAGACGAGGCTGGCTGTCATTCATTTTACGCAGAACACAACGCATCGGCTAAAGGCGCTGGCGTATAGATTCGATGTAGGGGTGGCGTGCAGCTGCAAACTTAAGCTCGGACAATTGTGTAAAATGGTGAATTGCACTCCCTTAAAAAGACCCTCTCTAAAATGCACTTGCATCAGTTCGTCCCATGTAAAAAAGGGAGGGTCTACTCCACCCCGTTCACCTGCGGCGGAGAATACATAGGCCAGACAGGCCGGTGTTTTAACAACCGCCTGCGGGAGCCTTCCAGAGAGGTAGCGGAGCCCGGGGAGGACTCGGCTCATCCGATCGTGGTGCATCGGCGTGCGTGCGGTGGGTCTTCGCCAAGGATCGAGCGCACGCCCGCCTTGGGGTTTCACAGCCAAACGTTTGGAAGAAAGGTTATAGAGTCGTACGCCATAAAGGGCTCAGGTGTAAACTTTACCTCTCCTTCGATGTTGCTCTCCGAACGAGAAATCGCGTTTCTGCGCCCAATGCTTTCCAGTTTGGGCTAGCCGACATTGGTGGATAACTCGTATCTCCTGCCCTGTCGGGTCCTTTCGTCCTCTCCGGGATGGAGAGCCGGCGAGCGGACGGTCGTAGGCACCTGAATAAATGTCTGTTGTGAGTTGAAAAATACATACCGGTCTGTGTTCTGGTTTTCTTTGTGTTATCTTTGTTTTTAAGTCTACCAACACACTCCTTAAGTTTTACTTCTACAGATGACGTACTTTATCTGTTGCCAGGTGCACTCATACCACAGCCTACTGAATTTGAAAATATACGCTTGATATCATTACCTGCCCGATTTACCTTCGCCCCCTGCACCGGTCCAGAAAGGTGTTGGGCGGTGTACGTCCGCCCTTATCGCAATACATACCGGAAGTGCCCCGTCCTTTACTATTTTGGACCGGTGCAGGGGGTGCAGGTAAATTGAAAGGGCCTATTCGCATTCTGGCATTCTACCCCCGGGCTTGATTGGGATGTTCTGACATAGAAGACAGTCGGACCGATTCGCAATTAGCCTAATTTACTTTTATACGGTTTTGGTTTATGATGCCTGTTTCTACGACATTATCCATGTATGGTTCATTATGCAAGTTATTGTAATGTATCAAACAAATCTTTTGAAAAGCTGGCTACTTCATAGAAAGTCAGGTATGGCACTCGAATAATCTCGGCTGGCAGAAATTTTAATATGTGCGACAAGGATCTCCCAAATGGTGCCAAAACGCTGCAAAGCAAACACTCATTACATAACAATTTAAAATGGGGATTAGGTTGTAAAATATAGCAAAAAGGTTTATTGGCAGGAGTACCTGTCTACTACAAGTTTGATTAGACTTCTATAAAACCGCGTCCCCCTGACGATTCAATCATATGTACTCAGTATTGGAGAATTTACCCCTGCACTACCACTGGCTTTCACAGGCACGGTAACGCTCCGGGGGCGCTGCATTAAAAAAAAAAAAAAAATGCCGTGCATCTGTTTTTCCGCAGAACACTCGGAGAGCCAATCAATGCAGCTTACGGAGGCATGCAGCTCGGCGCATGACAATGCCGAAACATATGTTTAGACCTAAAAACGAAGGCTGCGATGTAGCATTAAGCAATGCAAGCCTGACGTTTTGCATTGCCTAATATTACATCGCAGACTTCGTTTTTTGGTTTAAATATATGTTTAGGCATTGTCATCCGCTGAGCTGCCTCTGCGAACTGCAGTGATTGGCCCTCCGAGTGTTCTGCAGAGAAGTAGACGTGCGTTTTTTTTACTGTACCCTGCACGTATGCTTGCAAGTGTAGCGCGAGCTACACTTGTAAGCGTACGTGCAGCATAAGAGGTATGTTAAAATCCTCTATTACAGAGGTTTAGCATACCGTGTCCGTAATCCGCCGCCACGCTACCGTGAGCTCATACTAAACCTCAAAGCATGCTCTTCAGAGCGAGCACGTAAAGATACCGTGGCCTCGGATCCTACGAATCGCGTTATGCCAGAACTCTCTACTATTTGGAACATGAAATATCTCACGCGTTTATATTGTCGCAATTTAATTTTGTTTTTAATTCTTCGATTCCATTGGATGCGATTTTTTTCAAGAGCTATACTTTGTATTACCCTACGATGAACTACAAGTCAAAGCTACTGACCTGCAGGTCCAATGACAATATACGTTGAAACCACGTAGTATATCGCTTACTTGAGGATTGAATCAGAGCAATACACCAAGTCTTTTTATTTGATCGTGATATGACCTTACGGCCCGCAGCTTTGGCTCGTAGTCCATCACAGGGCGAGGCGAAGTATAGCAATGTGCGTGTCGTTAACTTGACTCTTTCAAGAAATATTTTGGTGTTCTGCAGTGTGACAACTGCTGAGCAGCAAAATAGTATCTAGTGACACAGTAAGCTTTGCGTTCTGAATGTTGTCTCCAAAATACCTTTCTCTAGGTTCCTTCAAGAAAGTTCATAAAGACCTTGATCTACTCCACGAAAAGGTGGACGTCCTTCACCAAAAAGTCGACGCCCTTGAAGAGAAGGTGCATGCTGCACCCCCTGCTGCTTCTCTGGCCCATCCTGTGCTACGCAAACTGCCGATGAAGACAGCGGAGGAGTTTGAAGCCGTGGAGACGCTTCTGGCAGACGAAAACAGTTTTAAACTCATGGTTGGTTTACAGTTTTATTATAGTGAATGATATTTTCCAAAAGTAAGAAAATCAATCAAGGTGGAGTGATTTTCAAACCAATCGTTTCGATTGTTTTAATCCTAAGCCAATTGAGATAACCCTATATTAGTAAGGTTGAATTAAAACAAATTGTTGACCTATAAGTATACCGGGTGTTTCTTTTTTTTTTCAGTTCAAAGTTTTAGGAAAAGGGAGTGCGTTATACAGATACTATTCTAATTTCGTCTTTATCGAGCTTGCCGGACATTAGGTGGTGAATTAATTGTCACGATCAATCATCTAAATAACAAGAAAGCGCCGATTAAGTTTTTAATTCGAGGTTTTATGGCCCATGTTGCTATTACGATTTGAGGGCAACTACCACAGAAGCCTAAAAGACTCAGGTAATATAAAAGCAGCCTGCTTTGAGATATTTGTCGTGAAATCTGCTCTTTGTCAGCTAAAATTACTCAACTGGACGCAAATTTTGCGCCCAGTTACAGCTGTTTTACCATTGCAGCTGTGTACCCGGCAAACGTCACGTCGTTTCTACCGCCAACCCCCCCCCCCCCCCCCCCCCCCAGAACGTCAAATGGAGATTACTATAGCGAAATAGACCTGTTGCTAAATTATCAAAGCGTCAAGGAAAATGCAGGGAATGTTGTTCCACGCGACGCACATGCTGGCGTGTGCAGCAGTAACAGTTCTTATGCAAAAGCCTAAAACGAAAGGCATCTTCAACGAGCGTTCATCAACGCTTTATTATGGTTATTTACTTCGAATCGCTTATATGGGGAAGGCTTGCGCGTGCAGCGCGTAGAACACCATTCCCTGCATCTTCCTTGCTGCTTGGGTAATTTTGCGATAGGTCTATTCGATTTAAAAATTCTATCATAGTTAGAACATATCAACGATGTAGAGGGCCTTAGAGTGATAAACTAGCATACCGTTCATCAGGCAAAAGTGACCCCCGATTGGCCGCCGCCATGTTGTACAATTTTGACCACTAGACACGTGACCAGGCCAAATCTATGACGTAACCAGACCAAATCTCTGGCGTCAACGATAAGATGGCAGCGCCCAGTGCGTGTCGGAAGCGTTGTGGGCGTTGATCGGAGTGTGTGGATTTCATGTGCGGAATTCGGTTTTTCAGGGTTTTGTGTGCTCTCCCGCGTAGGAATAACGTGAAGTACGAGGGAATGAGGCTTTTCTTTTTTTATTTAATTCAGAGTAAGCCAGATTCGGTCCCGTGCTTCTCGTACGGGCTCGGATCACTACCTCGGACATCGCTCGGTCGTTCGAGTTTAATTAAAATATCCGCAATCGTTAACCACGAGAGCTCCTCGATAATCGCTGTGTCGAAGGATACGTCGACCCCTCCGGAACGCGGAGTCTAAAGGTATGCAAAACGTAACCAGAACGCGGAGTTCTAACGGTACGGCGGACGTGCCCGGGCAATTTTCTTAGCTCGACGGTCAAGATTCGCATTGAAGCAGCGAGAGAAGTGTTGAAATCTCCGAACTGCTCGGTGCTGAACTAACTACGGGCCACATCACTATGTGATCCGTAGTGACGTGAAAAAGACCGACGGCGGTCACTCCGGGCGGACGGCGGCTCCCGGCCGCCTGCCGTGTGCCTTCTGTGAAAAGGCGACAGTCGTGTAAGCAGTACTGTACCAGCTTCTCTTATAGTTATGTTGTTTTCGAGCAGCTTCCCGATCGCTAAACCCCGCAAACGCGTGCCGAACTTTCAAAAGGTGTCTGCCGACCTGGAAAGCCTTGAACTCCCAGGGAATTTCGGATCATCCGGGAAAGTCAGGGAATCATTCAAAAAGTGGGCTAGATAAGGGAAGACGACTAGTGAAAGCGGCATGGCGGTTGCTCGTCGGCACGGCCATGCTGAATGACATTGCCGAAATGTCATCCTTCGACTCAAAAACTCAAGGAATTTGATCAAAATAGTCAGGAAAAAAACTTGGAAAAGTCGGGGAATTTGAAATCAGTAGTTTGTTAGACACAATGTTTGATTTTCTTGGCACTCCAGGCGTTTTTACACACGACAGGCACACGCCCGTGTATCACACGGCGGCCAGGCCAAGCGGCTGCCAGCCACTTATGCAAGGTCGATAAGACGCAAACGTGGAACGCTTTCGGACTGCTGTAAATACACCAGCGGGAGCGTCCGGCCGCAGTCCGACTGCCCACGCTAGGACACCCGACACAGACTCCGCGTCCTGGGTACGTCTGACGTATCTTTAGATTTTGCATCATAGGTACGTCAGACCTATCTTTAGACACAGCGCCTGATAATAGTAGTGAATAGGTTCACGTTCAGTGCGCAAGTCACTTTATTACACTCGGAGAGCAGAATTCCATTCCCGTTGCGCAGGTAGATCCCCAGCTAGGCATGCACTTGAAGACTATGTTTCACTCTTTCATAAAGCAAGCTTTGCGGGACCCCTCCGCCCTTGTGCACCCATTCGCAGGTCGTGTTGCCTTTGCTCACATAGCTCCCGCAGGTTGCGGGGCAGCGAGTTCACACATGAGCCCTCTTCGTCCCCCAATTGAGGGTCATATGAGCTCTATAAACCAACCTTGCCATGTTGCTTGTCCATCTCTGGCTCCATTCTTGGCACTCTTTGCTCATTAAATCATCGTCTCTTGTGATTATGTTACATGGAGCGTGCAGAGCTGTTTTGGGTGCAGTTTTCACGACAAAGCTGACATTTGAGTGAAAATGCCTTGGTGCTGCAGTGGATTCGTGACCCTTATCAATGCCCGCGAAAGATTACCAACTTCGTCAAGAATTGTCGGATGGTGCTACCTCTTTCTGCGGCACTCTGCTCACGGCACATGTGGTGGATTCGCAGCTTGAAGAAGTATTCCAGCATTGTCTTGACCATAATTGCGCAGTGGGACTGGTTGTCGATTGTCTGTGACAGGAAGAGGTGGTCAAAGATCTTAAACAGCGGGGTCATGAAGATGATGGCCATTGCCTCTGCCTGCAGTCTTTGTAGCCAGCTTCGACCTCCTTTGGCCGCCTTGTCAAAGTGCCTGCGAAGCACCTTCTCCGCTATTTTGCACAAGCCCAGGATGTCCTGTGAGGGGCTGTGGAGCCCCCCAGCATCCTTGATCAGTATAAGGTCGCTCTTGGCTCTTGTAAGAAGTGCGATCTTAGAGCACTCAGGGCACTTGGTCATCTTTGCAAAGTTGACTGCCACGTTTCCAGCAATGTATTCTACAACACATTCAGCGAATTCTGAAAGCGGCTTGTAGGAGGCAGTACTGTTGGCCTCTTTGCCTCTTGCATCGTCAGCCCTTCTCTGACCTTGCTGGTGCTGCGCCGACGAGCTTACGAGAAGCGTCTCGGTGCCGTCGACCTGCCAGTTGCCGCAAGTTGAAGGCAGGACGTTGGCGAGCAAGCACTTTCTGTACGCTGACCGAAACTCTAGCGCTGTGGGGTTGTTGTTGTTACCCGTCCTGTTGCGTACAGTGGCAAAAAACAGCTCAAGGTGGTCCTGACTGAGCGTTCGCGTCAGCAGGCACTTGAGTGGCGGACTGCGGCCGGACGCTCCCGCTGGTGTATTTGCAGCAGTCCGAAAGCGTTCCACGCTTGCGTCTTATTGACCTTGCATAAGTGGCTGGCAGCCGCTTGGCCTGGCCGCCGTGTGATACACGGGCGAGTGCCTGTCGTGTGTAAAAACGCGTGGAGTGCCAAGAAAATCAAACATTGTGTCTAACAAACTACTGATTTCAAATTCCCCGACTTTTCCAAGTTTTTCCCTGACTATTTTGATCAAATTCCTTGAGTTTTTGAGTCGAAGGATGTCATTTCGGCAATGTCATTCAGCATGGCCGTGCCGACGAGCAACCGCCATGCCGCTTTCACTAGTCGTCTTCCCTTATCTAGCCCACTTTTTGAATGATTCCCTGACTTTCCCAGATGATCCGAAATTCCCTGGGAGTTCAAGGCTTTCCAGGTTGGCAGACACCTTTTGAAAGTTCAGCACGCGTTTGCGGGGTTTAGTGATCGGGAAGGTGCTCGAGAACAACATAACTATCAGAGAAGCTGGTACAGTACTGCTTACACGACTGTCGCCCCTTCACAGCAGGCACCCGGCAGGCGGCCGGGAGCCGCCGTCCGCCCGGTGTGACCGCCATCGGTCTTTTTCACGTCACTACGGATCACATAGTGAAGTGGTCCGTAGTTAGCTGAGCACCGAGCAGTTCGGAGATTTCAACACTTCTCTCGCTGCTTCAAATGCGAATCTTGACGGTCGAGCTAAGAAAATTGCCCGGGCACGTCCGCCGTACCATTTGAACTCCGCGTTCTGGTTACGTCTTACATACCTTTAGACTCCGCGTTCCGGATGGGTTCGACGTACTTTTCGACACAGCGATTATCGAGGAGCTCCCGTGGTTAACGATTGCGGATATTTTAATTAAACTCGAACGACCGAGCGATGTCCGAGGTAGTGATCCGAGCCCGTAGGAGAAGCACGGGACCGAATCTGGCTTACTCTGAATTAAATAAAAAAAGAAAAGCCTCATTCCCCCGTACTTCACGTTATTCCTACGCGGGAGAGCACACAAAACCCTGAAAAACCGAATTCCACACACGAAATCCACACACTCCGATCAACGCCCACAACGCTTCCGACACGCACTGGGCGCTGCCACCTTATCGTTGACGCCAGAGATTTGGTCTGGTTACGTCATAGATTTGGCCTGGTCACGTGTCTAGTGGTCAAAATTGTACAACATGGCGGCGGCCAATTGGGGGCCACTTTCAGCTGCCAGTTTATCACTCTAAGGCCCTATACCTCGTTGGAACATATCTTGTTAATATCTCGAATATCAGCAGAGTTGGTTGCATTTTCGCGTGGTTTAAAGTCTCGGAACTGCTTTGGTACATTGGCGAACCTAATTGTCAGCGCCGTAAAGGACGTTTTTTTCAGTGGAGTTGTTAAGGGCTAGTTTCCCCAGAATATCCTGTCCGCTGTATTAGAAATAATGACACCGAACTCTGGACAGCTACCGCCATCTATCAGCGATGGCGGCGACTAGACAACTGGTTGCCGCCGTGGCTCATAGATGGCGGCAACCTTTCTTCGGAGGAAGAAGAGTGGGAGCGGAATGAACGGCGATGTGCGCAGCAGCGTGAATGATTCCGCAACAGCCGCAAAGCCGCTATCGCCCAAAAGTTCCACTGCATCGAGCGCTTCAGATTCCCTTGCGAAAGAAGAGCAGATCGCTCGCTTGGAAAACCACCACCGAGAACAGAAGCTACAGCGCCGCTGCTCTTCCTTCTTTACCAGAGAGGAAAGGCTGAGAGTTTTTATTTTTGCAGCATTTTTATTGTTTAACTGCTTTCAATCTTGAGACAACCCGTTATTCTACGGTTCCACTGGCAACCTCGAGCTTCAATTTCATCGAGGAAGTTTACCTCGAGTGACTTAACACGGCGATCGAAAACAAGGATTGCATGTGCACTCTAAAAATGCCCGTGTGTTCACTTTCTCATCACATACTTAATAGCCAATCACAACAATCTGTGGAGCAAGCTCGGTGAATCATGTAGTAGAAGAGGTGTCTAAGCCTAATAGCTGGTTGAAGCCACGCATGATTTTTTGAAGTACTGAACGGTAAAGGCCAAGTTGATGTTATATTTTAGATAGAAAAAATAATTTGATAAGGTTAACCACAGGAAAGTATGACTCAAATTAAAATATATTCTGAAGAACCCAGGTCTCGTCAGATGGATAGAGATGTTTTTTTGTAAGGAAGAAGACAATTTGTAGAAATTAAAGATAAACATTTAGTTTTAATCGATGAAAAATCAGGCGTACCTCAAGGGACAGTGCTCGGTCCTTTTTTAATATTTATTATTTATATACTCTTCAATTTAACTGTTAAGGTTAGGCTCTTTGCCGACGACCGTATCTTTTACACATAGGTTAAGGAGCCCACCGATCAAATTAATCTTAACACGTGTTTAGCACGCGTTGGTGAGTGGTGCAATACTTGGCAAATGTCACTAAATTTAGATAAAACCGTTTGTATGACTATTACAGATAAAGCAAAGCCCATTGAATTCGCGTACGCCATCGAAGGGTATCCACTAGTAGGGTAAGCAGTTACAAATATCTGGGTGTCATTATTTCTCACGATCTCCGTTGGAGTGCTGATATTGATAGTATTGTAAAAAAAAAGCGAATTATAAACTGTGGTATTTAAGGCGCTCTTTGAAATTAAGTTCAATGAACACAAAACTTTTGGCTTATAAAACACTCATTCGTCCGTTGATGGAATACGCATGCGAAATGTGGGATCCTGATATTGTTAAGAATGTGCTAAAGCTAGAAAAGGTGCAACGACTTGCTTTAACGAAAATAATCCCTGGAGAAAGGGAACAAGAGGGACAAAGGACAAACACAAATATCCAAGGTGACTGGTGCGCGACCGAAAAAATCGACCTGGTCCGCCGTCCGGGTATCGAACCCGGGACCTCTCCATATTTGGAGATTTGTGTTTGTCCTTTGTCCATCTTGTTCCCCTTCTCCAGGGATTATTTTCGTCCAGCTCGCTTGCACCTTTGCATTTAATTGCATTATAATCATGACTTGCTGTACGTTTCATTTTTTTTCAAATATCGCCGTCTGGATTCACCTACGGCACTTTATTCAAAAGCCAAAATTCCATTACTTAAGATAAGACGTAAACAAAAAAAGATTCGAATTTTTAGACATGATTAATAATGGCTTATTGCAGATAGATAAAACATCTTACCTAGTTCCTGACCAAGTCGAGAATAACTCGAAACAAGCACAGTCGCGCACTTCATCAGCCCCGGTTCTTCAAGGACTGTTTCAGATACTCATTCTTTCTACAAACCATAAGTGACTAGAATCTTCTTTCGGAGCAAGCTGTGGTATGCCAATCACTTGAAGCTTTTTTTTTTCTTATATAGCATCTTGCAAAATGTGAAATAAAATGTTGTTTTCTTGTATTGTTTTTTGCCAGCGCATTATAGCCCATGACGGATTTAATTTTTATCTTTCATTGTCAAAGTATTTTCTTTGATTATTTGCTGATATATTTTGTAGTAGCTTTTCAAGTATGTGCTGCTCTTGTTGTTGTTTTCTTTGTACACTTGTATACCCACCCTATCATAGTCTCAATAGAGACTGATAGTATTTTGAAATAATTATAACAATGAAGTCGGCCCTGGGACACTGAGCAACGTGAAACGTCACGCTCAGTGTCCTAACGAAGACTTAATTTTTGGGTCTAAACACATGTTTGGCCCCGTTATTCACCGAGCACGTTTTGCTGATTGCTGTGATTGGCTATTAAGTGTTTGATGGGAAAGGAACGCACGTGAATGTTTAGAGTGGAACTATTCGACAGATCTAGCAGAACTCAGATGCGGTTTATCTACTTTTGCGGTTGGAAGTCATTTCTCCGCAGTCGAACTCGGGTGTTTCGTTTTTTGCTTCTCACCTTATATTATATTGCCATAATCTCTGACACGTCGGCATGTGGTCCCAGTTTGGGTACCTCTAAATTTTATATAATGCGTAGTTTAGTTTTGCAATTTGAATATCCCGATTCTCATCTGTGTCCCGTTACCTGTATTTTGCACTCTTTAAAAATATTCTCATGGCAATTCTACTTGCAGGTCTCCCACCTCAAGAGCTTTGACGGCTCAACACTTGAAGAGAAGGCTGACGGCATGATGACTCGTTTGTTCTCGTTGGAGTTAGCTGCCACCTACAACTACAACAAGGGATCAAAGGGGAAGCTTGTTTTCAAAGGAACGCTAGCCGAAAAGGCCGTCCGTCGTAAGTACTCCCATTAAATACTATTGAACGCAATGAATGTTAATTTGGAATTTAAAAGCTGATAATTATTTATAATGCTCTTCATGTGTGTCAAGCCACGAATAAGAATTACGAAAATTGTCAGATATATATAAGCGAATAAAATTGGAGTTTCACAGTTTGTCACAAGTTAACGTTAGGAAGGTAAACTGTTTATTAAAGTTTTGTTGCTCTAAGCACCAATGCAAAGAAGAGAAATGGATGAGAAAAACGGCGTAGTCGTTAAAGTATTTAATTTCAAATCTTAAAACTGAGAACCTTCATTTTCTTAAATTATAGGTGTTATGCTTTTCCTGCTTAGTTGAACATGCTTATTTGGTTTTAATATTGTTATGTAGTGAATGAAATGTTGGCTTTACTTAGTTCCAAAGCAAAACGTGCTTACTTTGGTAGCTATTCCAGGAAAATGTTTGCAGGAAAATTCTAATCTAAAATGATTCTTTTGTAGAATGAACATCTCCGAGAGTATAATTTTGCATGGTTTTAAAAATATAGTTTAATCATAATGTCACAAAATGAGCTCGCATATTTTGTTCTCAGGCAGCAATGTATGCGCACTCCTCGCTGGGCGAGGTTTTAAAGGTATAGAAAAGACAATTTGTAAAACGAGCAGAGTGTCGTTCTTATTTTTAAAATGTACGATAGTTCTGTCAATATCAGGCAGGATCGAATGTTTTGGGAAAGCACGGATGTTAAAGTGGTCTTTTTTACACTTTTTTTAGGCGCCGCAATGGAGAGCTTCCCAGGACTCGAGCCCAAGGAATACACGTCCCACCTCAGAAAACGGTTCCGCAAGGCGTACGACCACCTGAAAAAGCAGGAGGACGCGTACGTATTGAAAGACATTTTTGGTCGACAAATTTTCAGATTCTACCTTAAAATTTGGCTGAAAAAAATCTCAAGAGCTTTTCGAAAAAAAAAAAACGAGTTGATGGTTTATTCTGACGTGTTTGTGCCTACGGAGTCCAAATATCACAACCGTTTGACCCAAAATAGTCACTAAAACAGAAGCGATCGCCGCAGCGGCACGCCATTGGCTAGTCACGCGTGACGTGCCACTACGTCATAAAAGGTCCATCTCGATTCTCGCCTACTCCGTCGATAGCAAAAGCGGTCGGGCGCCGAGGCATCTGCTCTTGTAAATTGGGTTGGGCTTCTGATTTTTCGAAATCTTTCCGTGGATCCGAAAGGGTAATGTGTCTAGAGGACGCTCTACATGAAAAAGTACCCGTTCCAGCCGTTGACGAAGCACTTCTTCCCCTTCTCCAGGGATTATTTCCATCAATCTTGTCCAGCTTACTTGCCCCTTTGCATTTGATTGCATTGTAATTAGAAAAATGACCCTCCGCAGTAATAAGAGGAGACACGCGGAACCGCTTGCGCCGACGCAAATTGGCCGGCTTGATACGATCTGGAACGTAGACTGTTACTTATTGTAACGTAAAACGTTGACAATAAACGGGCTGCTATTGACGAGACGCGTAAGGCCGGATTAGCGTGACCCTCCCCAAAACGGCTGTCAGAGGACAAGAATTCGGTACACATCGTCCTTCATGCTTGGCAGCTGCTGGACACGTGAGCGTTCAGGCTGCATTATTCATTAAGACTGAAGTGGGTTGAAGGGATGGTATAATCTAGGGTGCCTTGATGTGCGCTTCACATAGAGTGATGCCAACTGCCTGTTTCCCTTTCCCACACCCTCGTCCACCGTCATTTTGTTCCTCTCATTGTTTCCCTGTGCGCCGGAAAGTGGCCCTTGTATCCATCCGTCCTCCCATCCGAGGGGGAAAATGCTAATCCTCCCTCCGTAGGTTGCACAACGCTGCTCCGAACTTGTGAGATAGGGTGCTTGTTTCCGGGAGGGTTATAAGCCCCACGGATTATCGCCGAGAACCAAAATGGCTGCTGGTTTGTCGGTGAATGGTATTACAAAGGGTGGCATCACCCTAGCAAAGAGCACAGGAAGGCTCCCGAGTATAATCGGCTTGGAGAGACGGGAGAGCTTCCCCTGAGATGAGACGGGTGATGAGATAGGGTCGTCGCTCTGCCACCGCGATGTCCTTGCGTGCTACGCGAATAGCTGCACAGAAGATCCATCCTTTTGATAGCGGTACCCTCTGCTGAGTTTAATTTGTTGGCCACCAATTATTCCGCAATTACAGCTTTAGAAAAAGCGGATATGTGTGCCCGGCAGACCTCGCTGTTATGTCGAATTTGTGAAAGCTTCCTGGGCCTCTACATTTACAGACATCTCCCGAGATTTGTTGACGGCATTGGACCACCACGAAGCATTATCATCGTCGGATTCCATTTTCACGGCACAAATAACCATTGCGTGGCTCACGAACTTCATACGGAACACACTGCGTAACTTGTAAAAGAAGAACTCTATTCACAACAGAATGTCACATGCTTTTTATATCCAAAGAGGGCTCCTCAAGTGAATATGTATGTATACCCATGGAAGGAAAATTTAACGATATTTGCGTTTACTTTTAAAAAGTATGACCTCAAATAGTATCAGCAACTGTAAAAACATCCATGCTAAACATCTTGCACCGTGAAAGTTTCCTAAGTGACAGGGTAGCGGAGTAGATAAAAAAAATAGAGAAACACCTAAGCATTCCTTATGAGTCGTGAATGCGAAAGCATGCAAGCTGCTCGTCCGTTCACTTTTTCGTCTGCTGCGTATTTTTCGTCGCCGGTCGGAGCGTGCGCTCCCCTGGTGACCTTGGACGCTCCGCGCTGATGGACACGCAGCGCCATGGGGTGAGCGTTCGTAGAGACTGACGAGCGCCGCGGCCAATGGAACCGAAGGAAACTATCTGCCGTTTTCGTGCTTCAGACTGATGACGTCAGCTCGCTTCATGAGACAGTTGATGCTTTCGCATTGAAAACAAAATAAAACAATCTGGGGTAATGGAGTCGGTGCGGAAAATATAGTCACTTCAACGGTATAAAAAACAAACTAAAAGACAGTGATAAGGCGGTTAGCACAAACGAGCCACTGGAAGCCCGGTATTTGGCTACATGATCGCGGCTTTTCCAGTGCACTGCTCACAACCAATAACGTGATGGCTTTTTTTCTAGAACAGTCTACCTATGATTCCTACCCAGCGTAGTTCTAATTTGCGTGTGCCTTTTCATGCGCTGAATTGCCTCTTCTTACCTTCAAATACGGTCGCCAGAGCGTCGGGTTCAGGCGAGCATTCTTCAGACCAAAACCCATGTTAACATTCTTTTCATAAGCGCCGTACGGAACACCTCCCGAACAGAAAACGGGGCAGTCGCTAAAACTCGTCAGTTTGCATAGCGGGAACCCATCCCTTTAAAATCTCGGTGCCGGAGTGAAAAGGGCGGTAAGCAGGAAGAACAACTGCGACGATCGCTGTTTGTGCAAGCCGACGACTACAGATGGGGACGGCATGGAATCAGGTGCTTCGGCGCCACGAGAATCCCGCAAACCCGTGAACTAACAATCAACACGTCAGGCGATTGAGTGAATAGTACGACTGGTAAACGGATAAAAGCAAGCGCTATGCGGCGGTAGAACGACGACGGCTCGAGAAGCCACTAGAGCAGACAACGAGGGAAGCGCGGCCAGCCGTGGAGGGGTCCCCCAGCCGGACCTTTTGAGACGTCAGCTGACGGGCTTCCTTCTCTCCCCCGTTTCCCTCTGCATTGGAGGGGTGTGGCTTCAACACTACTTTGAAGGCGCTTTTCCGGTTAATCCGCGCATAAAATGACCAAATCAATTTGATATTCATTTTGACTGAGGTCTAATTAACCAGGCTCGGGTGTTTTTTCTCATATTTAAAACCTCTTCGGCGTCCCTTTAAGTCCAATTCCCAACACCGTTGACAGCACAGAAAAAAAGAAAGAAAAAGAGCAACCAGTTTGCGTGTAGTTCAACGCTGAATGAAACAATTACATTTAATAGACCATTTGCTCTATTACCCAAGCACCAAGGAGAATGCGGGGATTGGTGTTCCACGCGCCACACGCCCACGCCTTCCCCGTATGAAAGAATCGAAGTAAATAACCAAATTAAAGCGTTGACGAAGGCGCGTGAAAGATGCCATTTGATCTAGGTATTGCCTTTGGAAAAGTTAGTACTGGCTGAGGCCAGCACGTGCGGCGCGCGGAACACCAATCCCTGCATTCTCCTTGATGCTTGCGTAATATAGCAATAGGTCTATTCACAATGTGTGGGCTGAATTTTTTACAGCGTAGTTGTTAAGGGCTAGGTTCCCCAAAATCGTACCCACCAGCAAAAAAAAAAAAATGAAACGCCGAATTTCGGACAGCTACCGCCATCTGTGTGAATGAGGCATTATGCCTTAAAAAGGTCGGCATCTGGATAACCCTAGTCAAGAAAAGGCACCTCAATTCGCTACATAAAGGAGTTATTATTTTTCGCTAGGAGCCGAAAATTTTTAACAGTCCTTGAGGTGTAAACGGGCCGTAGTCCATCCCTTGTGCATTAAATGTAATTAGGTGCATATAATAAAAATCGAAATTTATAAACAAAAGACTTGCAGCAGCAGGGGAAGCTGTATCTTCTTTATGGTGTTTTGTTATAAGATCGAACAACCATGTCCGGTGACCATTTTTAATTATGATGAAAAAAAATATTTTGCTAACTTGACGCCAATGAGAATTAAAAAAAAATCCTAGATTAAGGAAAAAAAATGTCTTTGCGTATCATGCGATGTTGGCATTTCGGGCGTCTTCCCCAGAAAAAAACTCTTCTGGTTACGGGTCTAGAAATATTTACTGACAAATTAGGCATAGGAAGGATTGACAAAAAGTATTAATCACAAGGTTTTAGGGTCGTTCTTTCGATAAACAAAATCACAAACACGGCACATTGAGGTCTGGAGTAAAGATTTGTTTTCTCCATACTAAAAAAGCTAAGGTCTCGAAACTATGTCAGTCTGTTGTCCTGCATATGGACAACAGACTGGCACCTGTCCAGCCTGTTGGCTGGACAGGCCAACAGGCTGGACAGGCCAACAGGCTGGTTCACCTGTGCATGAAATATCGTTGTCCTGGTTAGTGGGAGAAATTTTCAAGAATTGCTCACGCAGGGGCATTTAACTAAAATTGCATTATTTTGAAAAGCGTTTTAAAAAAGGGCCACCTTTATTTTTCCTTAAACTCTCCAAAATTAACATCTATAGTATGAACTAACAGAATCTGCGAAAAGCGTAACGCAATATTTATGTGGCTCTGAAGTTATAGCACGACAAATATGGCAAAACTAACTCTAACACGGTTTCTATAAATTTTGTGTGTACATACCCAATCTTCGCAATTCAATTAATATTAAAATGTGTAAAAAGGCTACGTGGTGGTCAGGAAAAGACAAACTGACAGCGCAGAGGTGGACGGTAGTTTTTAAGGGAAAATTCCCAATACATTTTCGTACAACCGGCCCATAAATGTCAATGCGCCGGAGCGATCGAGGGGCGCCACCCTGTAACATGCTTTGGTGTGCCTGTTTCAACAGCCGGCTTGTAGCGTCTCCGTTTACGCGACATAAAGGAAACAATCCGAGCAACGTTGCATACAGATCAGCCTACAACCATGCCGGTCATATGATATAGGAATTAAGACGAGGCAGATCCTGAACCTTCGCCGCCGGTAAGTGGCAATAGATCCGCCGCCGTGGAGGGCCGCACAACACAAAAAATAAAAAATACTGCAAAAAAAAAAAAAAAAAACAAATTCAGTTGTCTGAGATTGTTTGCATTGGGGCATTTTGAGATAGGATCGAAAGAGCATATCCGGTCGACATTTTTTTTTAATTTTTACCACAAGATATATTTTACTTGCGCAACGGCAAAAACGTGTTCCAACTTTTTTGGCGGAAAATAATATTTCTCTTGAGGAACGAAAATCACAAAGTCGCTGTCGGTATACGCGCACATTTTTGCGACTTGCGTGAAACCGTCCTTTTGAATATTTATAAAAGAAAAACTGTTGTTGCCTTAGGATTTTTATTGTTTGTGCAGAGACTGTTTATAAAATAAAGAGAGGTAAACATGTATTATCGATTACTAAGCAATTCAGAGCTTTATGGATCCGGATCTTAAAAGGCTCGAAATTCAAATGTTTTAACATTATTTGGACGCGTTTGTTTAATATTTAGATAAATTGTCATATAAATTGAAAACGATGACCTCAATAAAACAATACGCTGAAACGCAGACAGGTTACCGATTTTGCAATAATTAGAAAATCAGTTTAAAATAAAGGCTACCTTAATTTGTTTTCTACTTTTCACAGATAAAGGCTCATAATGTGTCCTATCGGGCCCTTCAAAAATATTTTGCAATACGTTTCTGTATTTTTGAATTTACAGAGCACTAAATATACAGAATTACCGTAACGGTAGAGAAAGCTAGGACGGTGCCGATTTCAAACATGGGCAATAAAGTGGTCGAGAAATGTGGGAAGTCTGTGAAGAGAAAGCAGTGTGACAGGAGTTCGTGAAAAATGCAGACTTTATACAAAATATTACAGGTGAGTTTGAAGCATGCATAACCCAACAATTTAAATACAAATTTCTCGGATCAGTGAATTTCGGAGCCGACCCTTCGTAGGAAGGCTGGGCTACTGACGGCAACGTTTAAATTGATAAGAAAGAATACATGTTTAAAGTGGTACAATAGAAACGAGCTTATTGAAACAAAATCCTGTGCGCACATTTGGCGCTTGTAGCGTGCATTCTTTCTGCCGTACGGCGAGCGTCTGCCGTACGGCGACCGGAGTCGGTCATGGCGGTCTCCTGGCACTCCAATGAGGAACATTTTGCTCCGATTTCGCCTTTAGTGATCTCTGTTCGTTTCTTATCAGTGGCACCGCAAGCTCGCTAGATCGATCTGCTAGTCGCAGCCATGGGAGACTTTACTTTCATAGATATATCTTTTCTGCGTCTACTGCTCTTGCTAAAAGAGCTGTGGCTGCGAAATCTCGGACCGCGTGCACTGCCACAAGTGACGGGACTGAATTGCACTCACGACGAAAACAGAGTCCCAGTCCTTTGCTTTCATGTCCCTATACGCCTTGACATCAGCTTTCGGGAGGTGGATTATTTTCACGTTCGGTAGTTTAGCGTTTACTGGGGCAACCATCTGTGACTCCGACTTGATAACCGACTTGGTGGGCCGTCGGAGCTGGCACAACGTTGCCTGGTGCTTGACACGACCCCCGATTCCATCGCAAGCACTCTTACCATCTCCAGTTGCGAAAAAAAAATGCACTTGATTGACGAGTGCTTGTTGCTCTGCAGGTCGTGTAGTTGGTGCTTGTTCCTAAAGTGACTTGCTGCACTTTCACTGACTTGGGTCACATGAGCATACCCAAATTGAATTTCACGATTCTCCAAACCGTTGTCATATAAATTAAGTTTCAAACAATCTTATTCAATCGCAATTTTTTTTCTGGAAATATTTTTTTTGCGTTGTGTGGATTTTTTACGGCGGCGGATCTATTGTCGCTCACAGGCGGCGCAGGTTCAGGTTCTGCCGCGCCCTACTTCCTATATCATGTTACCGCCAAGGTGTAGGCTGATCTGTTTGCAAAGTCGCTCCGGTTGCTTCCTTTACGTCGCGTAGACGGAGACGCTACACGCCGGCTGTTGAAACAGGCACCGCGAAGCATGGTACAGGGTGGCACCTCTCGATCACACCGGCTCATGGACGTTTTTGGGTCGGTGGCACAAAAATGTATTAAGAATTTTTCCTTTAAAACTATCGTCCACCTCTGTGCTGTCAGCCTGTAATTTCTTGACCACACCGTATCATTTTTACGCTTTTTAATAAAAATAAAATTGTGAAAAATGGGTATGTGAACTCCCCATTTGTGGCAACCGAGTTAGCGTGAATTTGGTCATATTTCTCGTTTTATAAGCTCAAAGCCACACAAATATTGCGTTATGTTTTTGCAGGTTCTGTTAGTACGTACTATGAAACTTAAGCTCGGAGAGTTTGAAGAAAATTAAAAATGACTTTTCTTTCATGATTTAAAAAAAAATGGTTTTAGTTAAATGCCCCTGTGTGAGCAATTCTTGTAAATTTCTCCCGCTAACCAAGACAACGATATTTCATCCACAGATGAACTATTTACAGGACAACACACTGACAAAGTTTGAGGACCTTAGCTTTTATACATACGGAGGAAAAAAAAACATTCAATCCAGAGCGTTGTTACGCAATGTGCCGTATTTATGATTTTGTTTCTCAAAATCACGACGCTAATAATGGGTGATTAATACTTTTTATCAATCCTTCCTATGCCTAATTTGTCAGAAAATATTTTTAGACCCGTAGTCAAAACAGCTTTTCTTTTCTTTTTTTTTTTTTTTTTGTTTTGTGGGTGGGGGGGGGGGGGGGGGGGGGAAGCCACCCGAAATGCCAACATCGCCCGACAGGCCAAAGGCGCCCGTGACTGAGATGGTGCTTACAACTGTTTTTAGCAAAGACAGTTTTTTTCCCCCAAAACAAGGATTTTTATTCTCCTTATCATGAAGCCAGCAAATCTTCACCAAAATCAAGGACGGTCACCGGACACGGTTGTTCGCTCTTATCTGAAAACGCCCTTTATTATTACTCAAAATAAAGCCTACAAGCACAAGCCGACGTAGCTTAATGCACACGATGATGTGCCTCCAAGTGTTATAGTTGTGGGCTTTAGAAGTTGTTTCTATTATCTGCGAAGTTACAGCGGTATTTACGGCAGTTACCCTAAATTGCCAAAAACCACTGGACTTGGTTCTGTATGTTTGCATGAAATTACAGAAACAGGATTTCTTAGAAGTCCGCACGAGACCTTTCCATTCTCCAGTGGAGCATAAAGGACATGTGCAATTTCGTAATTCCTTTTACAGGCAAGCAGAATACCCGTGTTTATTTGACTGGTTTACAATAATAGCCGATATTGCATCACCATTTTTTTTTAAATGTCAACTATTGTTTTGTTTGGTATTTCAGGAGGATACTCAGGGAAGCGCGCGCGCTTTTAGGAGCGGTGCCAGGATGGGTCCAGGACCAAGCATGAGGGAGCAGTGTTGTCACTTTTCAGAACATTTGTTTTATGTTTGCGTTTCAATCTATTATTTTTGTACACCCTCCGCTTTAAGAGTATAATAGAGAAAATGAAATGCAATTCTGTTTTTGTGTCGTTCCACGGGAGATGTCGTCGGTTTATCTTTGATGGGACTTGTGGCGTTTGTCAGGTTTTGTTAGCCTAAGTTATCGCGGAATAAAATGTCGTCTATCTTTTTATTTTATTTTTTCCATAGTGTTGGGAAGTGATGATGCGGCAACAAAGTAATTGCAGCGACGTGATTGCACGAGCATTGTCAGCACCGCTTGCACGTGTCGGTGTTTCTTTCGAATTTGTTCTCTTCTTTTTTTATTCAATCCTTCCGTCCCGGCAATAAACCTTGTGGGCACCCTGACGGCTCCACTGCCCAGTTGCCCGACTGCTAGGCAAAGGTGCCAAACTTTTCCAGCGTGGCGGCGACGTCACGCCAGCCACGCGCACATCGCGTGCGCTGCCTTGATAAGGCGCATCAGAGGCGCCGCACAGGGGAGTCGCGGCCTGGACTCAGGCGCCGCTGGTAACCATGTTAATTGTGTCGTCCATGTCCCATTAAATGTAGTTTCTTGTTGTTCGAACCGTTGGCTGCGTGTTGTTCCTCCGGGTCGGGTATGCAGCAATGCAAACCGACCACAGCCTTCAGTGGTCATCATGCTGCTACACGGGTCCGTAATGTCTACTTTATAGCAGCGGCGGCGAGGAAAAGGTGTATAAACCCACAAAAGGCTGGCAAAAACGAATAGCACTTCATCTTTTTTGGGGGACTAAATAGATGTCACTGATAGTGATCCCCCAAAAGCGCCAAAAACCCCAGTTTAGTCCTTTCGTCTTTTTTAGTCCCTTGGAAGTGATTTCTTTAGGTCGAAGTTTTGATTCGTTGAAAGGAGTGTTTTTGATCCCTACAGCAGGGCACCAGGAACTAACTTTAACTCTTTAGGGGATTAACTACGGTACCTTGAGTGTCGTCGTGTCTACAATTGGGGGAGTAACTTTAATCCCTTCGAGGATCGGCAGTGCTGATTGGGGACTAACTTTTCGTCCATTTGGGGATTAATTTTGCCACATGAGATGATATTTATAGTGACGGGGAAGTAACTTTCGTCCCTTTGAAGACCATTTATTGACACTTTAAGGGATCAATTTTAAAGCAAGTAACTTCGTCCCTTTAAGAATCAATTTTGACTTTTAGAGCCTAATTTTTATACTACCGAGGAAGTAACTTTCGTCCCTTTGTGGACGAATTTTGACGCATTTAGAGACAAATTTACTAGTAATGAGACCCTTGAGCTGTGAATGGGAGTGAAAGGTTTGCGGTACTAAACAGCTTCCTATTAAAAAAAGGCAGATTGTGTAACTTGTTTGAAAAGGAATATTCTCTTTTGAAAAGTTATAAAAAGTGTCTTTTGAGAACAGAAATTCGTATTCAATACCAGAGACCTTTCACTCCCATTCACAGCTGAAAGGTGGAAATATTGCAGTAGATCTGAACAGTCGCACACTTTAATTGGAAAAAGCAAGCCTGTGTTGCCAAACAAGCAGCATCATGTACTACGTTAATCTAAATGGTAATGATGCCCGCGCATTCTGGATATGCGGACAACACTCGTAGAACATTCAAACAGGCTTTAACAGCCAACATCACCATTTTACAAAAAAAGTTGCACCAGTAATCTGTAGAAACAACACCTCCATTGTGGAGATATTATTTTAGAACTACGCAACATTGAAAATAAACACAATTTCAGATCACAAGAAAGTTGTGCCAGTACTGAAGGACTTGCCAAAATTTAACATGACTAGCATATATATGTAGGCGCGTACAATGGTTTAAGCATTGTACGCGCCTACACATGAAAGCTTAAGCATTCACTGAATGTGCATGTTACTTGTTGAAATTATAAGGCATTTCGCCTCCTTTTTGTGAAAAATGAGACCAACTTGCCAGGGCCTAGGGTGGACATGCTTGAAGAGTTAGCAATGCTTGTAAACTGTGACGTCATTTTGTTTTAAGCACAGCAAGCAGAAGGCAATCTTTCATCTGCTCGTTGTGCCTATCGGGAGTTAGAACCATCGCTCACCTGCAGACATGCCTGCAATTGACACTGGCAAGTTTGTTGGTCTTATTTTTCATGTGAAGGGAGCTAAGCTTTGCAATTCCTGCAGGAAAAGTTCACATTCGGCTAAATCTTAAAATAGCTTTCTACACGCAGGATAATTTTTCTGGCTCGTTTCACAGCACTAAAACATTTTGTAGATTCCTTTTATATCAATTCAAGAATGAGAAAACTTGGGGAAAAAAAAAAAAGCTACCAAGAGACAGCTCTCTTTAGTGTCCTTTTCTTCCTTGTATAATGAAAATGACTCTAAAAACTCAAGCACCCTAGTAAAAGAGCTCCCAATCATAAAATATCAGGTAGAAAAATGACTAGTATATTTATAAATTTAAGAAAAAAACATGGCATGGGTTTTGGACTTATATACTGTATATGCTAAAAATATTACTAGTATATAGGATGACCCAAGTCACCAGGCTCGACCTAAAATGGACCGTAAAAATCGACGCCTGCACGTAACAATCTAAACTTTTCGTCAAAGGCGTATTTCTGTAAAAAAATAGGGCCAAGAGACCTGCCACGGTCTACGGGTACAGCTGACCAGAGAAAGAAAGCAGACGACACGCGGACGAACTCCGTTGGTAGCAAAAGCGCCGTCGCTATGCAGACGCGCGTTTTTTTTTTTTACTTTTAAGTTTTGCTTTTATTGTCCACACTTATTTTTTTAACCAAAGATACAGTCCAAAAAGATTAAGTTCATTTTAATAAATGACGGTGGTCGAAAGTCGTTGCGATAAGGAGGTAGCGCTATCTATCAATACGAACCGCACGCCGTAGTCTCTGGCAAGTTTCTTTACCCTATTCTTACAGAAAGAGCTACGCTTGGTAATTTTACAAGAAAAAAAAAAAGAAAAAGACCTTTGACATACACCTTTGACGAAAACTATAGATTGCTTCGTGCAGGCGATAATTTTTACGGTCCAGTCAAGATCGAGCCTGGTGACATAGGTCACTCTATATTTGTAAATTAAATAAAAAAAAAAAAAAACCTGGCACGATTTTTTGACTTTCAGGAATATATCTTGTCAAGAGAGTAAAAATAATGTTCAGGTAAGTAAGAATATATTTTTTAAAAGGAAACCAGCACAAAAAAAAACTTTGTTTTAGCAGCATGTGCGGGGAAAAATAAAATAATAAAAACATTTTTTAACAATTTAGCCTGGTCATCTGTTTTGGGCCCATGAAGCCCAGCTTTGAATGTCTGAGACCTACAAGTTTCTCGAAACAAACAAATGTGCGACGATATTAAACGAAGTATTGAAGGTCGAAAACCCATGCCAAGCAGAAACACAGTGCCACGGCTTCCAGAGGGCCCTCTGCCTCATAGGCCTGGTTTTCAAAAAGCACACTGCAGCGCTCTGTTGATGTCCTGGGACACTGTGATGGAATAGACTGCGGGACACGTCTGAAACAAAGGTTAGAAATTAAGGCAAATCATAATATCGAAGTCTTTCGCGCACAAAAAAAAAGAGGCTTACTCATACAGCAGACGCTGGCAACTGATGATAGACTAGCTGAAACACGTACAGTACATACTCTCTAAACCTAACGCCACAAATCAGTTATCGAAATATTGTTGTTGGCAAATCAAAGCTAAATTGGTCATTGCAGCAGCTGGAATATCTTCCCCAAGCTAGGTCATCGTCGGGTACCCAAACGTCACCACCTGGTTCGACTCGTAGGCCAAGGAATAGCACAAACAACGAAAAATGGACCATACCTGGGCAACATTAAGTTTGGGAAGCATTGTGATATCTAAAACTCCTAGGTGTGGTTGCTGTATGTGGAAAGGCTCTTAACATGGATGCATCTAATGCCTTGCATTAAAGGGGCCCTGCAATGGCTCTTTTACTGGTTTTAATTTGCACCGAACCTGAGCGCACTGAACTTAGTAAGTAAGGGAAACTTTTCTTTTCTCGAAATTCGCTTTATTTTAAAAGTTACCGGCAAATTAAAATTACAAAAACAAGCAAAAAGTAACCTCCCTCATGACGTCCTTGGTTGCTTGAGTGGCCGTGAACTAGAGGAGGGGTAGTGGGCTCTTCACGAGCGCTCACGGCTGCCGCACTCCGTGTCGACGGCGCGAGAGGGCACCACTAAAGCACGTTCTGGATAGGCTGTATGCAGCGGGCAGCCAGAGCGGCTCTCATTGCATTTGCTGCGCAATTAAACACTAATTCGGCATGACACTCCAATGGCCACAAACGACAGCAAAAACGGGGTAAAAATGAGTTTAGAATGGGAGCCACTTTGCAATGCCATACCGCGAAACGACCAAACCGCAAGAAAAGGCTCTCGCCGACGGCCTTCGGAACCGGTGGCATCCATGACCGCAGCGCCGCCGCGTACATCCGGGACCTTTCCGTGTCGGCGCTTGATCCCACTACTCCTTCCTAGTATGCGCCGCCTTTTCCACCGCTTCATTTCTTCTTTCCGTACTTTATAAACTACATTCGTTTCTTTTCGGATCTAAAATACAGAACAAAAACTACTTTTATAAATAATTGAAACGGTTCGCGCCACTTATATTTTGTATTTCGACTAAAAAGAAGCTTTTAGCGGGTCTGACCAGTAGTAAGCCCAGGACCAAAGACGTCACATTTTGCGCGCTTTCGGTACCGCGGGTCACCCTCGTCGGTGGAGGAGGTTTCCGCGCCGTCCGGTTAAAATATGCCGCACTGATATTTAGTTACTCTCTCCGTGCCTGCTGACTTGCTCGGGCTTCAAGAGACGTGGAAACCGCAAAAAAGGTAGACGCTTAAATATGATTGCAGGGCCCCTTAAAGCCAGAAAGGTACGCCTAATAGCTTAAGATCTATTCCACCATATTGAAAATAATTCTAGTTTGCCCATCAGCCTTGAAGGATTATGAGACCTCACAGGCCTTCAAAACCCTTCAAAAATACCCTACAGGAAAACCCTTCAGGTGTACCCCGCAGAAAAACCCTCCAGCCCCACAGCCCTTCAACCCGTCAGACCCTTAAGCCCCAACCCCTTAGCCCATCAACCCTTTAGACGCTCAAATGACTGTGCACCATAGACAAAAATGCAGTTCAAAACGTTATTGGAAATTTGTTGCGGACATCAAGTTTTACATGCGTATTAAAACTCAAAAAGGTGATAAAAGCCTACGCTTGTTCAAACCCGGGCGCAAGAAGCTGTAGGCGAAAGAGATCATACCAAATACAGACATCTGACTTCTTTATCACAATGAAAATTATCTGTCAAAGTACTCACAATGCCG